GAAGTAGAAGTAGTATCTAAATAATATTCTAGGCTGTACTATACTATATAGTGCTAGAGAAGGTTGTTATAGGCTATAATAAAGTTTATTATAGTGTTGTCTTAGTAAAAGTAAGCAACTTAGATGTGTAAGCAACTGCTAATCTCTAACACACTAATGTAGCTAATGCTAATCCCTAACACACTAATGTGGCTAGAGAGGTGGAACAGACGCAACTAACTATAATTTAAACATGTTTTACACAACGCATGCTTAAGCAAACTACGTGCAAATTAACATAAAAGTGCACTTATAACGTACCTAACAGGTTGGCCAGCCACACAGGTTAGCCAGCCACTTTTGCCAAGCCCCTACCACACTCTACCTATCTACATAATGCTTTAACAACAACACTAGATTAAATCTTTTAAAGAACATTAAATATAGCTTACTTTTTAAGCTTTTAAATAAAACTTAAAACTTTTTTTATAATATACTATAGCTATTTATAATATCTTTTACATAACACTAAGTAATTAACGCGCTAGATAGCCTTTATAAGTAGAATGCTAGCTTAAATTAAAAAATCTAACTAAGCTTAAAAAAAAGTAGTTATTAAGTATATACTTAAGCTTATTACACATAAATTTTTTTTAAGCTTATAGCTATAGCTAATATAGCTAATTTCTTACACATAAAGTGTAATCTAGGCTAAGTTAGCTTAAACTAGCCTAGTATATAAGTTAAGCACTACTTTAAGTTTATAATAAAGTTTAATTATAAGTATAATTATAAAAAAGTGCTTTATAAAAATTTAAAAGTTATTTAAAGCTAGTTTTACTTAGTAGCTAACATAAAAGCTAAGTATAGTATCTAAAATAAAAACATGTATAACTTTAATAAGTTAAGCTTTATAATAAGCTAAATATTAACTAAAGTAGTTATTATAGCTTTAAAGAAATAAAAACAGCTAAAGGTAATATAGTAAAGTAATAAAAAGTAGATAATAGTTATTTAAAGTATTAACATAATAAAGTAAGCTATTTTACTCTTTATTATTTTTAAAAGCTGCTATTACTTTTTTACTTAGTATAAAAAAAATCTGCTTTAAAACTAAGTTATTATAGTCTTTAAAAATAGCTAGATAATAAATAAGCTTAAGCTGTAGTAGTTAAAGCACTTTAATAAGTATATAAAAAAAAAGTTATAAGCGCTTATTAGCTTTTTATTATTAATAGCTATAAAAGCTATAACTTACTTAATTTTTAGTAGTACTATAAAAAAAAATAAAATTATTACTATTTATATACCTTTATACTTATTACACCTTTTATAGCTTTTTAATGTAGGTTATTTTACTTTTTTAAAAAAAGTATATAAGTGCTAAGCTAAAGATTTTATGTATAACTAAATTACTTATATTATAAAACTTAAGTTCTTACTGTGCTTTATATATACTTATAATGTAGTAATTACTTTTAGTAATATCTAAAAACAGTTTTAAAGCGCTAGTTTAGTTTTATTTAACTTAAAATAAGTTAAAATAGCTTTTAATATTTAGTTATATACTTTATTACTACTACTACTTATTAATAATAAGCCTTAGTAGTTATAAACTCTAAGTAATACTTTTAAATTTAAGTTATAATTAATGCTTATAAAAGTAAAAATTTAAAGGTATATAAATAGCTTACTAATATCTATAGTAAAGGCCTTTAAAAAGATTATAAAGCTTTAAGTAGTAAATAAAGCTACTACATAACATAAATTATATAAAAAAAAGTAAATTTAAGTAAAAAAAACTTTAATAGTTAAAAATAGAGCTTATTTAACTACTTTAAAAAAGTTTAAAGTGTATAGTAATAAAAAAAAGCTAAAAACATAAGTGCACACTAAAAAAAGTAAGCTAAGTTAAAAGTAATATAAGTAGTGTAATTAGACTAAGCATAACTTATATATATATAAAAAAGTAGTGAAAGTAGACTCTAAATAATATCTTGTGTTATATTACTTTATATAGGGCTAAAGTAGGCTGTTTTGCGCTAGAATAAGGTAGTTTTAGTAGGGGCTTAGCAAAAGTAGCCGGCTAACCTGTGTAGCCGGCTAACCTGTTAGGTACGTTTTAAGTATACATTTTTTTTAAAAAAAAAAAGAATGTAAGAAATACATAAACTAACAGAGAAATGGCGTTACTAGGGTTTATCTAAAGAAATTATGACTAACTAGCGCGTCTAAAAGAGGAGATTCTGCTTAACTTTTTATTCTGCAAACCTGAATATATTAAGCAGAGCAAGCTCTGCTACTAAGTTATATAAAGAAGTTTAGAAAATAGTTTTAGTAGTAAGAATTAATAATTACTAATTAGCGTAATTAATTAATTATTAATAACAACCCTGCCACGAGCTCTCAGTCGTGACTTGGGAGCCAATCACACCATGTGAGATAGGTTCGTAATCGCGGGCTGCTTCGTTCGCTGTCTCTCTGCGGTACAGTACATTAGGGGCGGGCGCCTATGGTAGGCTCGCGCCTCGAGTGGACTGACGCCTCGGGAAAGGTGACGGCGCGGGTGCGTTAGCCTTAAACTAATAATTGACGCGCTTTCCAGCCTCACCGATTCCATTTTTCAAAAGAGTCCTCCCCCTCTTCACTCCTCGCCTCAATGTAAGCAGAAACTCACCCTCGACAACAAAATATCCCCAATCTTTGAAATTTCGCATTCTACATCATGGCAAAGGCAGCACCCAATTTCTCCGGCTTTGTACCATGTTTTAGCGCGTAATGCACGGCCTCGCGTAATGCACAATTTTAGCAATCTGCGCCTTTTACTTTTAAAGCTCTAGAGACTTACACAAATTATAAATTATATAAATTTTTTATTATAATACTAATTAAATGCTATAGATTCTATTCCTAGCAATAATTTACATGTAATACCTTATAAGAAGGTTAATTTGCCTACTATGTTAAGTCCTGCCTAATGCTAGCTCTCTCTCTTTATTTAATGCTGCATTATTATTAAAATCCTCTAGCGTACTAGTAATAAGCGTAGGAGCTTTCTGCTTGCCTTTTATTACCTGCTAGAGGTTATTTTTAAGCTATTAATTAACCTACTAGGTAAGCTCTGCCTCCTCTTATTAAGCTGCTTTTGTCTTAAGCTCCTGCAGGTAAGCCTTTTTTACTATTGCTACTCTATGCCTTTTCTCTTTAACTGCGTGCGCCTTTTTAGCTTTCTTTACTTTTTTACGCTTTACCTTCTCTTGTTTTTAAAGCTGTAGAGCCTTCTTTTTAGCATTTTTTTATACCTAATAATTACATGCTTCTTAGACCTTGTTTAGGGACTAGAAGGTTGCACTACTATAATATTCTAAAGGTGCTTCTAGTAGGAGAGGCTTACTACACTAGCAGCGCTTCTTTTTATTAATTAGCGCATCTTTAACCTGCTTAAGCTTACACTAAAAGAGGATATAACACACTAAAAATAACTAAATAGTCTTTTTAAGCTCTTATACATCTTTTTTATAGAAATTACTAATAACCTTGTCTAAAAGGCCTTTAACCCTCTTCTAATTCTTTGCACTAAGCGCTAAGCTAGTGCTTTTACTAAAGAATAGTTACTTTTTTTACTTATAGTAAAATTAATCTAAAACTACTTATAGCTTAAATAGTAATAAACTAGTTACTTTAAAAGCACTAAAAATAGTTTTATGCTTAAAAAACATTTTCTAGGCCTTATTAAACATGCTATAAAAGTTTTTTTTTTAATTAATAATAGTCTCTAGTATCTATCTATAAAGCTAGCTAGCTTAGCTAAGTAGGCTAATAAAAAAAGTTTAAATATGCAGACATTAAGAGGCTACAGCGTATAAGTTGCATGTAGCAGGTATATAGCTAGAAGAATCTTATTATTGTTGCAGTACTTAATAAACTCTATTAAAACATGTAATCTATAGCTATCTAAGAATAAAAGTTAGTACACTTATTACACCTTTACTTTAGTCTTATAATTAAACACATGTTTAAGCTATGCTAGGCCTAGTTTATTATTTATTTAACTTATAAGTAATAAAGTAAAAAAAGCTTAATGCTTAAAAAGGTTAAAATCTTATAGCTAAAAGTCTTATATATAGTTAAAAACAGCTTAGTAAATTAGCATAAGTGTAAAAAAGCTACTGTTAGCGCAGATATAGGCTATTATTATAATCTACTTATAATTACTATTTTATATAAGCTGCTGCTTAATACCTTGCTTATACTACTATCTAGAGAAGATTTGCTTTATTTTTAATAGTACTTTAATTAGGAAGCCCTTTTTATCTATATTATAGGTATGCTATAGTTCTATGCTATATTGCTTAATTTTTTTATGTATAAGCTTAAAATATAGTAAGTACTTAAATGCTAAGTTAGCTTTGTTACGCGCAGCGTCTATGCTAGATGTCTATTAAGATAATAGGTTAATAGAGTGCCTTTTAATAAATTAATTAACTTAGCTTTTACTAGCTTACTTACTACTTATTTTTATTATAAAATTTTAAATTATCTATCTTAAAAAGAATAGACCTTTTATGTAAAGCCTATTAATGTACTTTACTAGCTCTTTCTTCTGCACTAGGCTAAGTAGTTGCTAATTTTTAAGTTTCTCTGCACGCAGGCAGGTAACACGTTAGTGACGCCTTAAGAGTGTAGATTAATTAACGCTATACTGCTTAGCTACTGCAGCATAATTTAGTGATTCTCTAGGTTTTAGCGATTTTAGCGACTCTAAAGCGGCCTTAATACTGCCCATATTAGTTAAGAGAGAGGTGGTTGAAGTTTTGACAGCTTCGCGCAGAACCGTGCATTACGCGAGGCCGTGCATTACACGCTAAAACACAGTATGGAACAAGATGGAGTCCTACGCAGCCGACTCATATTTTTCAAGGCGTAAAGAAAGATGTATGAAGTCTCTTAATGAAGATGCGCTAGTCTCCTATGCCGCGGTTCTTAAAGGTATTGATTGTCAGCTATCACCGGATGTCACAATGGGTGGACTTCATCTCATTCGTCTTTTGCAATTTACGGATGGCGAGCAATGGATTGCCAGAATCCAACTTGACGCTTCCACCCAGGAGTCTGCGGCGCGTCTGAGAAGCGAGATTGGGACAATGGATTTGATAAGAGAACGATCAACGATTCCTGTTCCAAAGGTTTATGGTTACGAGCTGTTCGACAACAACAGCCACGGTACCGGGGTGGCATTCATGCTAATAGAGTGTTTCTCCGGAAATGCTGCAATGGACCTAGATGGAGGCTATGAAACTCATCGTGGCAATATCCTACCAGAGCGAAAGCCTGACTTCTTCCGAGCGATGGCGGAAATTCAGGTACATCTATTAGAAACCACAATTGCCTATTGCTGACTCATACAGGTGGAACTCGCGACTATCAGGCTACCAAAGATAGGTACAATCATCAGACGAGATGATGGGAGCTATGATGTTGGACCTATTCCAATACTAGGAGGGCCGTTCGATTCCTCAGCAGATTTCTTCAGAGCATGGGGAACTCTCACCAAATTCCCTATGTCAGAGACTGATATCAAACAACGAACCGGAGGTGGAAAGCTCTCAGACAAAATAAACACCACTATCAGCATGTTCCCGTCTCAAATCAAGTCGAAAGCATCTCAATTGGCAATATACGACGGCCCATTCCCGATCCACCACCCAGATCTGTACCACAGTAACGTAATCGTGGACAATGACTATCGGATCCTAGGCATCATCGACTGGGAGGGTGCATGTACAGTTCCCTGGGAACTGATTGAACTGCCACTCTTCCTTAGCACCGTCCCCCGTCCGATGGATGCCGCATGGAACTACGATGCAAACGGTGAGCCGAAGCAGGCGGAGACTAAACAGCGGTGGCATGACCGGGCCTGGTACGTCAGTTTAGTAGAAGAGGCTGAGAATCTTCACGGCAGTGTAATGGACTGCCAGCTTTCTAAGATCCTACGGGACGAAAAGCTGCAGCATTTAGCTTTTTCGTTGCGACAGTATCAGGAGGGCAAGCTAGGTTTTTACAGCAGTATCCTACTACTGTTTAATGTTAATAGGGAGGAACGGCATTCAAACTAGAACCTAGCGTGATAGCAATCTTGTAGATTAAGCAAGATTATAGAACAATTTTATAGTCACGTATTAGCTATGTTTAGTACTACAGCGTACATGTTTAATGTTAGCGTATTAGCTGCTTACACTTTATTTTATCGCTATTACTAAAATAGCTAATATAGACTAAGTCTGTAGATTAAGTATATATAATCTAATAGTCTCTATAGTTTCGCCTGTTTATTCTATCTCTTACTTATATAATAATTATAATTAAAAGTACTTAGTATTTAGAGTTAAGTCTAGGTTAGCTTTATAAACGTGTTGTATAATATTATAATAATTAAGGTTTTAACTACAACTTGTTAATTACTAATATATAAATCTAATAAAGCAGAAGAAGATGCTATAACAAGAATAAATATTATATTTTAAATAATTTATATTTAAAAAATAACTAGGCGTTATGTTAAATAGGCTCCAACAGCTAGCTGCTTATAGTATAAGCACTTAAGTAGCAAGAGTAAGAGTAGTGTACAGTGTGCACAGCATACAAGGTAGGTAAAGTAAGGGCAACATGTTTCTAGTTCTATTACTCTTATCTTTTTTTAATATAAAGAAAAAAAGGGATATCTAGATATTTACACACAGAGGTTTGCGCACAAGCATTATATAATATAGATATGTAATCTTACTTATGTATAATTGCTTATATCTAGGCTACAACGCTGCTACTATGTACAGACACTAGCAACTTTTCTTTTTATCTAAAAAGTTACCTTTTGTACGTGTTACCTCTCTTTTATCTATGTAAGTCTATTTAATTATGTTCTACCTTTACTCTACTTTATTTATTAGAACTTACCTCTAGTAATGCTGTGCATTAAAATAAGCTATTTATGCTATATAAATAGCTTTTTTTTTCTTTATTCTTTGCTTTTTAAGCTTTACTGTATAATCTTCTAGCTCTTTTTTTTTATACAGTGCTAGCAGTAACAGATCCTTATAATAAGAAAAATAAGTGTGTATAATA